AACAGCAGAAATCGAGATAAGAAAACATATGTTTTGCCTCCTACTTCGCTGACGAGGTGTATCGGCTTTGTAAAGCACATGTTATTTTGTTCATTCGTTGCTATGAAATGCGTTGACATTGTTTTTTCACTGTCAATAGCTCGGTTAATGCGGCTCGATCATACTAAACGAATTTGCTGGCGGAAGTTCCATGGATAACGCATTAAGTGAAAGAGTTTTCGCCAGAGTAATATATTCAGCCTTCGTAGTGTAGTGGTAAAGTAACGTCATCTACAGCCGAAGGTTCCCGGGTTCAAGTCCTGCTTTCTACCGTTCTTTTTTCATCTTCTTTCTTTCTTTTTTTCTCGTTTTTGGCTTGTTTTGTTTGCTTATTTGTTTTGTTGTTTTTCTATAAATATGTACCTAAATAACCGTTATTTAATAAAATGCAATAAACAAAAAGAAAAGTATTGTGTTTGCAGAGCAAAGATAGTATATTAAATATATTGTACATGGATAAACAATCTGAATTTGATAACCATTTGATCATTTCCTAAACAATGTTCCCACGAGTTGACGATAGGCTTTCTTTGATTTTGATCTGTTTTGATTGGCATGACACTGAAAACCAGCAATTGTTTTTTGAAGTTGTAATGTGGTCGTCGTCCCCAAAGACGCCCACTGTTCAGACGCTCTTGTAATTCTTCTGACTTGTAAAAAGTTGATGATCGCTAGGGCAGTGAAGTTTTCCTGAATAAATACCTTTCTAACACAAATTATTATAGTATTCCTCCTTAAATTAAAAAGCGGAAGATTATTGTCATGAAGTTTAATTAAAGAGCCGAGAAAAGATTTTTGCCAAGAAAAGTCCCAACGAATTTGAAATCCGACATAATTTTGGAGATTTGAGCCGATATGGCAAGCCAAATGTAGCAATATTCAATTCGTTTAATTTTATATGTAGTTTTGTATTATGTGTTCAACTATGCGTTTAATATTCAACTTATATTCAACATTCAACGCGTTATTCAATATTCAACTTCGCATTCAACATTCAACTATTCATTTTATATTCAGTTCCTTATTCACCCATTCAATTATCTATTCAACAATTTCAACCATCTATTCAGCATTCAACTTTAATTTTTAAAACATTCAACTATTCATTCAACATTCAACTATTCATTCAACTCTTTTGAGCCTTCACTACTTCGGGTCAGTGACACAGATCATTGCTTGTTAAAAACATGGCGGCGGCTAGAATGCCAGCTACGGAAATAGAAGCTTATGAAGATGACACAAGGCTCCACTTCAATGGGGAGTCTGACTTTCCAAGGTTTCTTGACTCGGTTCTTCAAAGAACTGACCAGATTTCCCAGATGAAAGTAGATGAGGAAATTGTGGAGCAGCATATTGTCGTTGTCGATCAAACGGTTCGTTTGCTTCGTATACCCGGGTATACCCCGAGACAGCCGTGCGAATATTAACGCCCATGACAAAGAAACCTTAGATAATCTATCATCAGCGTTCAGTGATGTCGATCAGCCCTGCAGCAGTGTTTAGCCAGAGCAGCCGTGTCTCCCACCACAATTGTATGTGTATGACCCAGAGGGCCCCTCTCCTTCAGAAGAAGATAACAACGTTGTTCTCGAACCAATTTCTTTAGATAAAAGGCATTCAATAGAGTGCTATGTGATGGATGTTGTTGACCCTCTAACCCAGTCCACTCAACTGGGTATCGATCTTTATATTCAAGCCCTAGACCTGGTCAGGGTTAGAATGGAATGATAGTTAGATCTCCCTGGAACAGAAAATTACTAGCCAGACGTGAGGAGCACAGGCTCCAATGTAAAAGTGATCAGGATGCTTGTGGGGGAAATGACAACTACACCCCTAAAAAAAACAATGTGGGCTGGGCTAGGGCTTTTAATATTTGACCCCTAGGAAGATGCTCATTTTTTGACAAAGTAAAAGTTAGACAAGTCTGAAAAAAGGCAGGTGCATGTTCAATTGTTTAAATTATTACTAATAATATAATAGGACTTAAATATAATGCTTGTTTAGAGTATCTGGGGTTTCCACTTTCACCAGCGAGCCCACCAAAGAACATTTCTCATGGGAGTCCGAGAAAATGAATGTCAAATTTCACAAAATTACATCTTACGCTTGAAATTTTCAGAATTTTACCCGTGTTTTCACAATTTTTGTGAATTCTTAGTCGTAATTTTCTGTTCCAGGGAGATCTAACTATCATTACATTCTATCCCTGACCAGGTTTAGTGCGTGAATATAAAG